GTTACAGATGTACCTGTTGAGCTGCGACCGGACGCGGTGCAATGCGTGCTGCTGCTTCTGCCAGACGAGCATCGGGAGGCGTTGGAGACTCTGCTCGATTTCTTGAACCACGTAGCGAGCAACGCTCCCTACAACCAAATGACAGCCTCGAACCTGGCCGTGTGCCTGGCACCGAGCCTGTTCCACTTCAACCACAGTAACACGAACGTGACCAACAGGTCGAGCAGCGTATCGCCACGTAGGAGAAAGACCGTGGGCATTCCCGATCAGAGGGAATTGTCGGAAAACAAAGCCGCTCACGACTGTCTTCTGTATCTGGTCAAGATGCATCGTGAATTATTCATGGTGAGTGGCTCGATGCCGAACGTCCAGGTCGTTCGAGAGGAGCGTCATCCGTCGTCGTCTCGAAACGGCGATTGTGATCGCGCTCGAATCCGAGAGATATATACACACGTATAATACGCGCGTGTACGTGTGTATATTCGGACACGTTCCCGCGAATCAGAAGGGAAATACGAGTTAATCGTATTCTCGTTTCTCTGTTCCTCGTTACATCAGGTCTCCTCGGATATGTTGACGCAGTGTCATTTCAATTACATGGAGGAAAGCGTGCCGGTCGCATTGGAGGAGCTGGGATCCGAATTGAAGCAGGACTGGAGAGGATACCTCTACGCCTGCACCACGGCCTTGTTGAAGGAGGCGCGTGAAAAGTACGTCCAACTTTCCTAACGTTCTTTCGCTTCTCTAGTTCTCTATACGCTGTCAACGTCACGCGTGATAATCGTAACGGTTGTAACGTTATCCGTATCTTCCGCAGGAGTCGAGGGTGGGTCACCGTGAACAATCCAGCAGATAGCACAGTGGAAATGGCTTACAAGAAGGTCGGGGATGGACATCCGCTTCGACTGTGGCGAGTGTCGACCGAGGTGGAGGCTCCGCCGAACGAGCTTCTTCATCGTGTTCTGAGAGAAAGGCATGTGTGGGATCCTCAACTTCTAAAGTACAGGCTGGTCGCCAAACTGGACAACAACGTGGAGGTCTTTCAATACGCCACTGGGAACATGAGTCCTCTTCCTGCCAGGGATTATTGTGTGCTAAGGTGTGTTTTGAATTTATCTGAATAGCGTGCAGCCGATAGAAGCGCGCGATATTGAATTGCATGGAAGAGGTGAACGTGACAAATAGGAAGAATGATTTATAAGAGCAATAAAAGGGGACGGTTGAGTTGTAAATTATGTAACGTTGCATTGTGCAGATCCTGGCGTAACGATCTCCCCAAAGGGGCCTGCGTCATCGTAGAAACGTCCGTGGAACATCCGGATGCTCCTGTTATGCTTGGCGGGACACGTGGTATTGTTTTAGCCTCGCGCTATCTTATCGAACCTTGCGGTAGTGGTAAATCACGGATCATGCACCTTTCCAGAGTGGATACAAAGTACGTATGCCTGGCAGTTTGTCGAATTAAAAATATTCGCCCCTATTCCGTTTTCTCCCGTGTTTGTATCTGTGCGTAATATCGTATTTTATTCTCGCCTTCGTAGAGGACGCACTCCAGAATGGTATAACAAAAGCTACGGCCATCTCGCTGCCCTCCATCTCAGTAAAATTCGCAGCTCCTTCAAGCACACGACGGATGGTCCTGAGAGCAAAGTCTGAGAGGAAGCAACCGTGCAACGATCCCCGTTGCACGGTCTTTATGTGACTCTCCAGGATCAGGATGATCAACATCACGAACACAGGATCCTAAAGGATGTGCTACAGGTTCAGCCTACCATTGACGAGGAGTAAAAAAGAAAGGTCGATGTCGCGCCCACTTCTATAGTACCATGACCAAGAGCATAGAAGATCTTGATGGAAGTAATGAATCTATGAGAAATTCAACTCGCTATCGAAGATGAACCCCAATGTACGTTTCTCGAGTTGACTAGGATGATATTTATAAGAGAAATGAGGGAAGCAAAAAAGAAAAAAAAAAAAAGAGAAGTTAACGATACCATGCACGAGCTTTAATCGATGTGAAGCAATTTTTGTTGATGCCTGAAATGTATAGCGTTAGACGTCGAATTATTATTATTATTAACCGTGTTGTTAGAGGATGAAGACGAAAAAAATTTATTGTTATCGTAATTCTAGACGAAAATTCTCTCTGTGTGTGACGTTTTATTGTCCAAGGATCTTGCCGTCCAGTGATCGTGAAAGTCGTTTAAAACAAACAAAAAGAAAAAAGAAAAAAAAATAAATATGGCAGGAGACCGAATCGAAGAAAAACTCAAAAATGGGCTAGTACGTGTTTACCCCTCCGTATACGTAGGATAACAGCGCATTATTTTTGCAGATATCCATAGTCCGATGTTATATCGTTACACGAAGTTCCACGAACGATGCTTTTATCCTCGGCGATAACAAATATATAATAGAGTACGATTTTTGCGATGTCTCGTCAGTGTAAGAAGAAACAAAGCTAACGTAGCAAATACCGATGCCTTTTTTCGATGGTTAGATAGATGATTTCAATAATCGTATCGATTCAAATATATATATATATATACGCGAGAAGCATGTAAATGAATGGACGTGAAATATTTTTTGACCGTAGTTGCTACAAACGCAGTCGCAGTATGTGTAATTCCCGCGTTGCACGATGTTTTAATCTCACCAAATGATACACGAGCGATCGACAGGAGAAATAAGTCGCGCACAATATTATAACTTCACCGTTTAGCACATAAGGAGCCCCTATTTTGTATGTTTCTTTCGGACCAAATGCCAATTTTTCTATTGTATCATATCACAGCCACACCGTCGAGTATCTCGAGGTGTGGCCACTTTTAGAGCGATTCTTTTGTAAATGTCACGATTTAGACGACCAGAGGACCGTGTAAATTATAGTAGTGGTACGCATTATATGATCTATATACGTGTATTCTATTTATATACAAATGTTGTCACGCGAATACGATTGTCCCAACGCGCGTGCCGCTTTCACCCGACACTCCCCAATCTCACACGATTAACCCCCCGATTTAATCGAGCAATGCGAAAGGATTTTGAGTAAACGTGTAAGTTCTCGTGCCCGTGACCAGGCGGGCACAACGATATAACCCGTGTTAATTAAGCAACCGTCATTGTCACTCGTATATCGATGTTAAAGCGTTGAAATTGTCATAGAGTCTATTGTTAATTGTCTGTCTGAAATTGTAAATGTCAATCGAGCCGGTGGTTCGGGGAACTGTTTCGATTGTTCTCGGCCAGTCGAGCATTTAGAACGGATCGTCGTTATTCGAGATGCGTTCGTGCATGCACCGTAATTAACGCATAGGGACCACCTTCGTTCGGACCCCACACCCTTCCTACGAAAACCTTAGAGGAAAACGAAGAAATGATATACCGAATCGGGAAACGACCTGGAGAAATAATACACCTCATCGAATCGAATTATAAGTGTATTTTAACATAATACTAGTCACTTACAATTTAGATGAAGTTACGGATACGTATATAAGTGTATAGATTTTTATTCTACGAACGTTACTTCGAGAATATTTAATTATTATTATTACTATTATTATTAATTAATTAATTATTCTTATTAATTATTATTATTAAAGTTATTACTATTATTATTATTATTATATTATTGACATAGAGTAATTATATGGAGAGGAAAGAAATATATCGATGATATTTTTGTGTCCAAAAAACGCCAGTAGGGAGCACGCGAATGAGAATGAGAGAGAGAGAGCGAGAGTGAGAGAGAAAGAGTTGAAGAGAGCGCGCGCGTCTGAATGTTTCTCCGTTATTTGTAACGATATATGACCGTCTTTATTCTTGTAATCCGTGTTTCACTAGAATGTAAATATGCATATTATACAATAATGAAACACGATTATATACTCATTAAAAGAGATCGTTTTATTTTGTACACCTAGCGTTCGAGCCATTTAATTACACCTTTGAAGCGCTTTTCCGAATCGTCGCCGGCTTGCTTTAGTCGCCAGTGTTTACGATTCGCAGCCGTGCAACGAACGATGCAGTTAAAAGCGGTTTATCGCGTTTCGAGCTGTTTAATCGATACTTCGCGTTACCAGGAACAATGCGTCGCCGTTTTCTCCGCGCGTTCGCGGCTTTCCCGTTTCTCGATTCATAACCAGCTATTTTCGCACGGAACAGAACCGTCGATCGCGTCTCTCGCGCGGCACGTGTTGCATTCTCTCTAATTTCCATACCCAGACGACACGATTTTTCCTCTGCCACAGAGAGTTATTCGCGTTGGAATTTCCCGAGTGTCACGATTTGTCAAACCGGATAATAATTCGAAGCAGCGAATCGTCGACATCAAACCGGACGCAACGAAAGGTAACCTCACACGTTGTTATATATAGCGGATCGTATTCTAAATAGTGGAAAATACATTCCGGAATTAGTTATCGTCGTGACGTTTTCAAGTTTTGCTATTACCGATACAGCAGAGTGTATATAATATTCCGACGTCATGCAACCCCTTTACGCAAGCACGTTAACCCCCGACTACCGGCGCTGACGTAGATACCGAGTTTATTAGATCGGAGATTGAAACATATTGCTATTACATTATACAAACGAGGTGTAATTTGTACGAGGTTGAATTGAAAGCCATGTCGTGTAATACAAAGTCACCGTGTCCGCGTGGTTCCGATAAAAATTGCTGAATTACTGCGACGTACGTAGATAAGAGTTGGAAAAGCCGGGACGAGAAGAAAAGATACGAACCACGCGCAGAAATGTTTCACGAACAGTCTGACAGACTGTGCGCCAGTAGTTAAGGGTTAAATGGAATCCTTGCCATTCAGTTGGTACGTTACCGAGCCTGAGCTAAAACACGACGATAACTCGCGGACTATCGTTAAAGTCGATGATGTTCGTCTCGCGTTAGTGCTCGTTACTTCTTTGAAATAAAGCAATACACGCTAATAGAAGCTGAAGCTGGTTCATGTACGCTTTGTTCGAAGCTTTCCGAGAAAATGGTCCGGATGCACGTGAAGAGAGGCGAGGAGAGCCAGTTTCTGTACGACACACACGTGGAGGCTCGGGTTGAAGACATTATATACGGCATTACTATTATTTACAACGGCCGGCTGAAGATCTCGAGAATATGTTATGGTAATGATCGTTCGCCCCTCGTATCTCGAACGGGTGGGATCGGCTACGTGAAAGATGACATCTAACAGCGTGGCCAAAGAAAAGGTCCGGCTTCTCCGTGGAAAGTTGCACTTTATTTAGGGACAGTTGCCCGCTGGATCGTAAGTTAAGTGGCATGAGATTGTCCCGAGGTAACGGCGTGCAACGCGTTATTACCGTTTTCTCGGCCTTTTTATTTTCACGTGTACGTAACGGCCCCCATGCGAACCGAACGTGTACGATTTTATCGGACATTACCGCGGGCCCCGCGAATGCCAATGATTTCATTCACGATAACCAGTTACGTATCCCTTCATTTATTTCCCGATTGTGCCATTAATCCAATCACGCGGTTTTAATGTTGCCTGCATGTTGCCGCTTGTTTACTCATTTTTCTGCACCGGGCAGAGTTTACGTCTTGATCCGGACTGATCCTCTGCTGCCATCGAGAGGCTCGTCGAGGATCAGACACACCTTTTTCGTTCCGGACGTTACAGGAATTTTATTCCCAAATTAGCTTTGCTTTTCACGAAGGGGCAGTAATTTATGATTCACGCGTGTGTATTTATAGACACATATATCGATATAACTTTGAAATTATACTTGAAAGGGAAACTAACACGAAATAGACCTCGCTTTCGATTAGCGATAGACATTGCTGAGAAACACACAACGAATTTTATAACGTTGCAATATTATAAATTATAGAAAAATTGCAAAATCTCCTATGCTTTCGTTAATTTTTCTTGGAACAGATATGTAGTTGTAGACTCATCCCGCACCCACATTTTCCCTCTTTCTCTATTTTACAGTTTCTTTCACTCCAAGCTACGCAGACATTTTTCTTCTTTCGTACCCTAATCTCGAACTACTCCCTTTTAACGTTCCCATCGCGCGTTTCCCATTCGCGCAACGCGAATTAAAATTCATCAAAGTGCAAACTAAATTACGAAGTTCGAAATTTTATATTCCTCCGAGTATGCCGAATCTTTAATTCCGCGATAAACGGCGAGAAAACGGTGACCAATAATTTGCCCCGAACAATCGATCGACCTTCCAAGTTAGCCTAAGGAAAAAAAGGATGCCGATTTACGATCAATTAACGCGCACAGCCAAGGTGAAGAGCCGCGATCCCCGCGAAGGTGTAATTACACGCGTTTCGAGGCAATGAATTATCATACGCGAGTATTCACGCGAGCACGAATCGAATCCCGCGAATCGAATTTTTCCCGCCGTTCCCGAACACCAAACCGCCCTTCGTGTCCCCGTGGTCGTCCTCGATTCGCTATATACAGTCGGAACGCTAACGCGAGAAATCCATTAACGATTATCTCCCGGGGAAGGCCTCACCCGCGGCTCGTAATAACAGCGCGTAATAAGAAGTCGAGGGCCGAGTTTATGAACCCATCCATCCTGCGCGCCGTGTGATATTAGTCACACGTCGCGCCGGGATAATAATTACGCGGAGTTACGCTTAACCGGGCACCGGTCTGTGCTTTTCGAAAAATAGAAATCGAGGAGCTGGCCAAGCACGGCACCATGCTGCCCCATAACATCATGGGCCTCACCGACGAGCAGGTAGAGGAGCTGAAGCTCAAGGACGAGTGGGGCGAGAAGTGCGTACCGATGGGCGGATGGACCTTTAACAAGGACGTTATCGGTACGTGAAACCATATTAAGAAACGCGTGACAGAGGACGAGAAAGAAGGAGAAAGAAGGAGAGAGTTCAATCTCGTGTACGGGGTGTCCCGAAAGGATTCGAAGAACGGGATATTATTCCGCGTGCAAAAATTAGTCGAAATCCTAGAAGAAATTGTTATTTCGTTTGCCTCCTCGTTTGTGGGAGAATCGAAGTTAAGAATTTGACCGAGTCTACACGCACGTGGCGAACGCCCTAACAGGTGCGTTCAGCATGGCTACCAATGGACTGTCACCTACTCGTATTTCAACCTTGGTTTCTTGGAAAACCAAGAAGAGAAGTTTATTCCTCTTTTTCGACTTGTTTTCACGCGCAGAGTAGGCTCCTGTTCGGGTATACCCATCCTAGGACACCCTGTAGAGGAACGATGACGCTTTCGGCCTAGGGAAGGGACTAACGATGTAGTTTGTTTTATGCTGGTCTAAACGGCCGCGCTTAGGGCACATGCAAATGCACGGTTATCGGGAACGGAGTGCGCAATGCCGGCGAGAAATTGGCTCAACCGAGATTTTTGTTGCTTCGAATGGGCCTGTAATCGTTGCATTAATTGCTCGCCAGCCCAGGCCGGAATGTTACCACGAGCGGTTTCCATGTTTCAGGCCGCAGAAACGGCAGACAGCCTAACGCGAAGATGCAGGAGGTCTTGAACAAAACGATCGGGGAGGCACGAGCTATGGTTTCAAAGGTAATTTCCACCATGTGTGTGTTCCTCGTTTCTCGTTTTTATCGACTCGAGGATAGACCTTCCACGTTCTCGTGTGCGTGCCACTAATACGTTTCTGCTATTCTCCCTCGACGTTTTGCTCCGTGTAGAAATTGATACAAGAGGAAAAACTGGTGACGCAGAAAACTGTGCAAGATGCACTGGATATACTGAGGGGGGCCGTAACGATTGTGTATCCGATGGGACTTCCGCCTCACGATACGATCCGACAGGAATTCGAAAACACCGAGGATCTGAGTGGCACTCAGGCATCTCTCGAAGTAAAGATTTATTCCAATTTCCAATAATCGGTTCCTAGATTATGATTGTCGAAATTTGTGAGAAATTTGTCAAGTTAAATGATGATATATGACCATAGGTTATCGACGTACAACTGGCGCAACTTTGGTTCTCGGGAAAGGAAATGTTACCGGGAAGAAAATTAAAAGATTATTTGGGGATGAACGAGAAAACCAAGATTATCGTGAAGCTGCAGAAAAGAGGAGCCGGAAGACCTGCTCGTGAACCTCTGATGTCAGAGGACGAAAGGAAAGAACTAATGCTGCATGCATATAAACGACAAGAACAACTCAAGGTAAGTGAAACTTATCTCTGGTCGATAAAATAGTTTTCTTCTTCCTGCACATATGGTACATTTGATCGTTGACTAAAACGCGGTGCAAATAATTTGGAAACCTTAAAAATTTGTTACGTTATAAATGATCTATAAAATAAATACAACACTCTATCCATTAGATTTTATAAATCTTTTGTTACCTTCGTGGAATTTTTAACCTTATTCACTCAGCATAATACGAGTGTAATGCACTACTAGTGGTTCAAATCAAATCTTTCTATGGTGAAGATATATTTCTGTACCTATTCCTGATTTTTGTCAATATATTAATAACACATAAATACTAATGACAGAAGAATACATTCAATAACTTTAAAAATATTTGTATAAAAGAAGAAAACTATTTTGTATATGAATTTACCGACGGTAAGTAGACTATGGGTTAGATGCATACACTCCCAGTAAAGGATAGACACACACACGCTCAAGGTATAGGATAAGCACACACACACACAAGGTATAGAAGAGGCGCATACACACTCAAGGTATAGGATAGCCGCATACGCATTCAAGGTATAGGGTACACATATTACCCTATACAAATCCTTACCCACTTCACCAGAGTGCTAGAACGCCTGATTCTAATGTGATTTTCAACTTTACCGATATAGAATGCAATAAAATTACGACGTTAGAATTGACTACGTGACGAAAAATGGGGCGTAGTACGGAATATTTCATAATTGCAAACGAACTATAGAATTCTATATATCAGCATTGATAACAGCCGCGTAAAGCATATTATATGTTAATACGATTATTATATAAGTGTTAAATAGTAAATTTGATCTGAAATTTTAATATGGTCTACGCAACGCAATTTCCAATTATTCTGATTAAGACGTAATTGGACAATGCCTGTAGAATTGTATATGACTCACCGTTCGTAGACTTCATTGGAATAGCGCAGGTTAGAAATAAGAGCAAATTGGATGTCTGCCACGTCCTAACTGAAACGTATCACTTTTTGTGCACTTTCAGTAAAATTCACTTATATTATTCACAAATTTATTACACGACATACTTGCGGAAACGCGCGGGAATATGGACGCCATGTTGCGCATGAGCAATCGTAGGACAGTTGGCGCATGCGTAGTCGTTGATTAGGTCGAAGTCGAACAAGCAATCCCGCGTAAAGTCAGGTATCAATATGCGCATGCGCAAAAATTTAGCAAGCACGGAAATACGCGGGAATATGGATGCTATATTGCGCATTAGCAATCGTATGACATTTGGCGCATGCGTAGTCGTTGATTAGATCGAAGTCGAACAACCAATCACGCGTAAAGTCAGGTATCAATATGCGCATGCGCAAAAATTTAGCAAGCACGGAAATACGCGGGAATATGGATGCTATATTGCGCATTAGCAATCGTACGACACTTGGCGCATGCGTAGCCGTTGATTTGATCCATGTCGAACAAGAAATCGCACGTAAAGCCAGACATCAATACGCGCAAGTGCAAAATTTAACGAGCCGCGGAAAATTGAAAGGATCCTCCAGAACATGTGTAGAAACATTCGCGAACGTGTTAGATGCCACAAGTACTTACAGTATTGAAAAAGTATTCATAAACACGCATCATGCAAAGACAACTGATAGCCAGGAAAACGCCCACTTCACCTCATGGTCGCATGCGAAATAAAGTGATGTGTGTTCAAATCATATGAAGGTATTGAGTATTTACCTAATATCGACCGTAGATATTTGATTTCGATTGAGGATTGCAATATTTAGTTAACATAACATGAAAAAGCCAGTTTTCTTATAGTGCTACTTTTCCTTCGATTTTCAGGTGTTACGTGTGATATAAATTTTCGAGCGTTCATTTTGTGCAACGACACTGCGTAATAGGCTATTATCGATTGTAGATTACAGATGTCGATTGTGATATTTGATTACCATAGCTTGGAAAAGGCAGTGTTTGTATGATATTCCCAACCTTATTCGATTTTAACGTGCTATATGTGAAATAAAGTGGGGTCAGTAGAAACCTTCTAAAGATAATACGTAATTACGTATTATCGATTCTAGATGCTATATTTTGATTGTCGATTGCGTTATTTAGTCAACATAGTTTAAAATAGGCAGCTACGTAATAGTTTTCTCAATCTTTTTGTTTAATTTGACGTGTCGTGTGCAACATAATCTGGTGTGAGTGGAAACTATAAAAAAAAAGCAGGGAAATTACGTATTATCGATTGTAGATTGTAAATTTCAATTATCGATTGGGATATTTAGTTAATATATCGTGCAAGAGGCAGTTTCCAAATAGTTCTCTCAATTTCTCTTTGATATTCGCTTACCATGTGTGAAATAGATTATCGGGTGTCCGTATAACATAACGATACTCAGTACTTAGCTAACATCGACTACACATTCCACATTTCAATTGTGGATTGAGGTATTTTGTTATCATAGCTTAGAATAGGCAGCTTTCACTAATTTTCCCAATTTCTTTTCAATTTTTACGTGCCACGCCCAATATAAAGTGGGGTTAGTGTAATCCATATATTGATACTGCGTAATTGCACATTATTCATTTTACATTTTAGATTTCTATCGTGGATAGTGATATTATGTTAACACAAGCGGGTAAAATCAGTTTTCTGATAATTCTCTCAATTTTTCTTCGGTTATGCAGTGCCATGTGGAGAATATTGTGGTGCCTGGGTAAACCATATAAAGGTACTGCGTAATTACACATTATCGATTGTAGATTCAATATTTTGATTGTGCATTGAGGTATATTGTTATCATAGCTTAGAATAGGCAGTTTTTACTAATATTCCCAATTTTTTTTCAATTTTTACGTGTCACGCCCAATATAAAGTGGGGTTAGTGTAAACCGTATAATGATACTGCGTAATTGCACATTATTCATTTTACATTGTAGATTTCTATTGTGGATTGTGATATTTTGTTATCACAGGATGGTAAAGGCAGTTTTGTGACAATTCCCTCAATTTTTCTTCGAAAATGCAGTGCCACGTAGGAAATAATGTGCCGCCTGGGTAAAGCATATAAAGGTACTGCGTAATTACACATTATCGATTGCAGATTCCATATTTCTATTGTGCATTGAGACATTTTGTTATCATAGCTTAAATTAGGCAGTTTTAACTAATTTTCCCAAATTTTCTTCAATTTTTACGTGCCACGCCCAATATAAAGCGGGGTTATTGTTAACCGTATAATGATACTGCGTAATTGCACATTATTCATTTTACATTTTAGATTTCTATTGTGGATTGAGATCTTTTGTTAACACAGGATGGTAAAAGCAGTTTTCTGACTATTCTCTCAATTTTTCTTCGTTTATGCAGTGCCATGTGGGAAATAATGTGGTGCCTGGGTAAACCATATAAAGGTACTGCGTAATTACACATTATCGATTGCAGATTCCATATTTCGATTGTGGATTTAGACATTTTGTTATCATAGCTTAAATAGGGCAGTTTTTACTAATTTTCCGAAATTTTCTTCAATTTTTGCGTGCCACACCCAATATAAAGTGGGGTTAGTGTAAACCATATAATGATACTGCGTAATTGCACATTATTCATTTTACATTTTAGATTTCTATTGTGGATTGAGATATTTTGTTAACACAGGATGGTAAAGGCAGTTTTGTGACAATTCTCTCAATTTTTCTTCGAAAATGCAGTGCCACGTGGGAAATAATGTGTTGTCTGGGTAAACCATATAAAGGTACTGCGTTATTACACATTATCCACTGCAGGTTCCAGATTTCGTTTGTGGATTGAGGTATTTTGTTATCATAGCTTAGAATAGGCTGTTTGTACTAATTTTCCCAAATTTTTTTCAATTTTTACGTGTCACGCCCAATATAAAGTGGGGTTATTGTAAACCGTATAATGATACTGCGTAATTGCACATTATTCATTTTACATTTTAGATTTCTATTGTGGATTGTGATATTTTGTTATCACAGGACGGTAAAAGCAGTTTTCTGACAATTCTCTCAATTTTTCTTCGAATATGCAGTGCCATGTGGGGAATATTGTGGTGCCTGGGTAACTCATATAAAGGTACTGCGTAATTACACATTATCGATTGCATATTCCATATTTCGATTGTGCACTGAGACATTTTGTTATCATAGCTTAAATTAGGCAGTTTTAACTAATTTTCCCAAATTTTCTGCAATTTTTACGTTTCACGCACAATATAAAGTGGGGTTATTGTAAACCGTATAATGATACTGCGTAATTGCACATTATTCATTTTACATTTTAGATTTCTATTGTGGATTGAGATCTTTTGTTAACACAGGATGGTAAAAGCAGTTTTCTGACTATTCTCTCAATTTTTCTTCGTTTATGCAGTGCCATGTGGGAAATAATGTGGTGCCTGGGTAAACCATATAAAGGTACTGCGTAATTACACATTATCGATTGCAGATTCCATATTTCGATTGTGGATTTAGACATTTTGTTATCATAGCTTAAATAGGGCAGTTTTTACTAATTTTCCGAAATTTTCTTCAATTTTTGCGTGCCACACCCAATATAAAGTGGGGTTAGTGTAAACCATATAATGATACTGCGTAATTGCACATTATTCATTTTACATTTTAGATTTCTATTGTGGATTGAGATATTTTGTTAACACAGGATGGTAAAGGCAGTTTTGTGACAATTCTCTCAATTTTTCTTCGAAAATGCAGTGCCACGTGGGAAATAATGTGTTGTCTGGGTAAACCATATAAAGGTACTGCGTTATTACACATTATCCACTGCAGGTTCCAGATTTCGTTTGTGGATTGAGGTATTTTGTTATCATAGCTTAGAATAGGCTGTTTGTACTAATTTTCCCAAATTTTTTTCAATTTTTACGTGTCACGCCCAATATAAAGTGGGGTTATTGTAAACCGTATAATGATACTGCGTAATTGCACATTATTCATTTTACATTTTAGATTTCTATTGTGGATTGTGATATTTTGTTATCACAGGACGGTAAAAGCAGTTTTCTGACAATTCTCTCAATTTTTCTTCGAATATGCAGTGCCATGTGGGGAATATTGTGGTGCCTGGGTAACTCATATAAAGGTACTGCGTAATTACACATTATCGATTGCATATTCCATATTTCGATTGTGCACTGAGACATTTTGTTATCATAGCTTAAATTAGGCAGTTTTAACTAATTTTCCCAAATTTTCTGCAATTTTTACGTTTCACGCACAATATAAAGTGGGGTTATTGTAAACCGTATAATGATACTGCGTAATTGCACATTATTCATTTTACATTTTAGATTTCTATTGTGGATTGAGATCTTTTGTTAACACAGGATGGTAAAAGCAGTTTTCTGACTATTCTCTCAATTTTTCTTCGTTTATGCAGTGCCATGTGGGAAATAATGTGGTGCCTGGGTAAACCATATAAAGGTACTGCGTAATTACACATTATCGATTGCAGATTCCATATTTCGATTGTGGATTTAGACATTTTGTTATCATAGCTTAAATAGGGCAGTTTTTACTAATTTTCCGAAATTTTCTTCAATTTTTGCGTGCCACACCCAATATAAAGTGGGGTTAGTGTAAACCATATAATGATACTGCGTAATTGCACATTATTCATTTTACATTTTAGATTTCTATTGTGGATTGAGATATTTTGTTAACACAGGATGGTAAAGGCAGTTTTGTGACAATTCTCTCAATTTTTCTTCGAAAATGCAGTGCCACGTGGGAAATAATGTGTTGTCTGGGTAAACCATATAAAGGTACTGCGTTATTACACATTATCCACTGCAGGTTCCAGATTTCGTTTGTGGATTGAGGTATTTTGTTATCATAGCTTAGAATAGGCTGTTTGTACTAATTTTCCCAAATTTTTTTCAATTTTTACGTGTCACGCCCAATATAAAGTGGGGTTATTGTAAACCGTATAATGATACTGCGTAATTGCACATTATTCATTTTACATTTTAGATTTCTATTGTGGATTGTGATATTTTGTTATCACAGGACGGTAAAAGCAGTTTTCTGACAATTCTCTCAATTTTTCTTCGAATATGCAGTGCCATGTGGGGAATATTGTGGTGCCTGGGTAACTCATATAAAGGTACTGCGTAATTACACATTATCGATTGCATATTCCATATTTCGATTGTGCACTGAGACATTTTGTTATCATAGCTTAAATTAGGCAGTTTTAACTAATTTTCCCAAATTTTCTGCAATTTTTACGTTTCACGCACAATATAAAGTGGGGTTATTGTAAACCGTATAATGATACTGCGTAATTGCACATTATTCATTTTACATTTTAGATTTCTATTGTGGATTGAGATCTTTTGTTAACACAGGATGGTAAAAGCAGTTTTCTGACTATTCTCTCAATTTTTCTTCGTTTATGCAGTGCCATGTGGGAAATAATGTGGTGCCTGGGTAAACCATATAAAGGTACTGCGTAATTACACATTATCGATTGCAGATTCCATATTTCGATTGTGGATTTAGACATTTTGTTATCATAGCTTAAATAGGGCAGTTTTTACTAATTTTCCGAAATTTTCTTCAATTTTTGCGTGCCACACCCAATATAAAGTGGGGTTAGTGTAAACCATATAATGATACTGCGTAATTGCACATTATTCATTTTACATTTTAGATTTCTATTGTGGATTGAGATATTTTGTTAACACAGGATGGTAAAGGCAGTTTTGTGACAATTCTCTCAATTTTTCTTCGAAAATGCAGTGCCACGTGGGAAATAATGTGTTGTCTGGGTAAACCATATAAAGGTACTGCGTTATTACACATTATCCACTGCAGATTCCAGATTTCGTTTGTGGATTGAGGTATTTTGTTATCATAGCTTAGAATAGGCTGTTTGTACTAATTTTCCCAAATTTTTTTCAATTTTTACGTGTCACGCCCAATATAAAGTGGGGTTATTGTAAACCGTATAATGATACTGCGTAATTACACATTATTCATTTTACATTTTAGATTTCTATTGTGGATTGTGATATTTTGTTATCACAGGACGGTAAAAGCAGTTTTCTGACAATTCTCTCAATTTTTCTTCGAATATGCAGTGCCACGTAAGAAGTAATGTGTTGCTTGAGTAAACCATATGAAGGTACTGCGTGATTACACATTATCAATTGCGGATTCCAGATTTCGATTGTGGATCTAGACATTTTGTTATCATAGCTTAGATTAGGCAGTTTTTACTAATTTTCCCAAATTTTCTTCAATTTTTTCGTGCCGCGCCCAATATAAAGTGTTAGTGCAAATCATATAAATATACTGCGTAAGTGCACGTTATTGATTGTAGGCTCTAGATTTCTGTTATGGATTGATGCGTTTTGTTAACACAGTGTAGAATGGACGGTTTATTAATGGGTGTCCCAATTTTTTGCTATTTGGACAGGTGACAATATAATGTATAGATCTTTCAGAAATATCTTTTCTTGGTAATTAATTACCTATTATATGTCTCTGATTAACCTCAATTGTTAGTAGTTTTTCTGCGTTCCATTAGACTTTTATTCCTCTGTAGATCCCATTTCAAAGCACTCGTATAAGAAATAATTTATTCCATAGTAAATTGAAAATGGATCGCTTTATTGTAATGTGTGCAGTGTTAAACCTGTTATTTTATTCTGACTATGGTACGTGCCATCGGAATTTATATGACAGGGCAAGGAGTTACAAAGTGTTCGGTAATATTTTAATAGTTCCATGTGTTTATTGTGTTTGTCAAGAACATGCTGATTAGAAGA